CTGAGAGCGCATCGTGGCATTCGAACATGATGCATAAACGCAAATCATCATGATCGGGAACGACGACACGAGGTGTATCGTCGGCAACTGCTGTGTAGTTTAGCAGGCCATTGCGAGTCGTATACCGATCCAACGAGGAATGGTATAGAGCCGGTAAATCCGACAAGGATTTCCGGGATGGGTTCGCAAGGTGACCCATCAAACGAAGGAGACTCATGTCTCCTTTGTATGCCTTCCGCACGTCATCGAGTAAAGGCGATGACGGCACACTGACTGACAGTGCCGCAAAAGTAGGCAAGGCCTCACTGTTTGCGCGTGTTGTCGGCTCGAAGTCGGGCCGACGTGATAGCGCATCGGCGACAACATTAAGTCGTCCTGGCTTATACTCCACGGAGAAGTTATACTCCTCGAAGAAAGACAGCCACCTCGCCATCCTTTGCGAGAGGTGTGGGCTGTTTACGGCCATGCGTAATGACGCATGGTCCGTATAGACAACAAACGGTCTATCTCCCAAGAGATAGACGCGAAACTTAGCCAGTGCGTACCTCATGGAAAGGAGTTCCTTGTCATGCACTGGGTAATTGCGTTCAGCTGGTTGCAGCTGACGCGATTGATAGCAGATGACGCGCTCCGAGCCATCTGCATCGAACTGCATTAACGCACAGCCGGTAGCTAAATCGCTGGCGTCACATACCACATGAAATGGTCTGTCCTGATCTGCAATCGCCAAGATCGGCGATTGCATCAAGCTTTGCTTGATACCTTCAAAGGGACGCTGGCACTCAGAGTTCCATGACCACTTGACATTTTTCTTGAGTAAGCAAGAAAGATGTACCGTCATTTCGGCGTAGTTGCGCGAGTACTTGTGCAAGAATGCCGCTAAGCCGAGAAACTTCCTTAGTCCCTTAACATCGACTAGCACTGGCCAGTCGGTGATCGCCTTGATCTTTTCCGGATCAGGGCGTACGCCGTGGTATAACCACGATGCACCCAAGAAGTGGTATTTCTCTAGCCGCGAATATACACTTCTTGAGTTTTGCGTACAACTTATACTTGCGCATAAGTTGAAGGACTTGACGAACGTGATTTCTATGAACTTCAACGTCCGTCTTTCCGTCCATAGCCCGACTATAGACGAACACATCGTCGAAGTAACTCGGTGAGAAGTCTCGCACCGGTCTCAACAGATTTGTGACACATTTGTTGAATGTTGCAGGGGCATTTCTCAGCCCCTTTGGCATAACTAGCCACTTCCACAGCATCCCTCTGGGGGTGCTCACTGCCGTTTACGGGATGTCCCGTTCACGCATGAGGATCTGATATAATCCGTCCATCAGATCCATGGACGAAAAGATGGTACTCTTTGACATACCATCTATGATTACGTCCTTCCTCGGTATCGGCGTCTGAGCCGGTACCGTTGCATCATTCAACTTGTTGAACGCTTGCACTATCCGCCATCCTCCTATGGCCTTTCGCACACAGAAGTTCGGAGAGCTGTGAGGGGATGTTGATTCCCTCACATGGCCCGCTGCTAAACGATCGGCAAAGAACTTGTCGATCGCTAGTACTTGTTCACGAGGCAGTGGCCACTGCTTCATGACGCAGTACTTCGAGCTCGGTTTGAGTTCGATCTCGTGTCGAGTGCCTTTGTCCTTAGGCAACTCGCAAGGTACGGATTCAGGGAACACATTCTTTAATTGGATCAAATGCTTATACAAAGAATTTGCCTGGAGCGACTTCCAGGATTGATATTCATATCTCTCAATCCGAGTCTTCTCATCGATGACGCTTTCGTCCATAGTTGAGCTGCTATGAACCCTCTCGGTCTCAGTATACACCGTTGCCGATCGAATATCGGTAACGTACTCGTCCTCCGCGACGAGTGAACATATCTGCTTGACTTTGCTACTGCGCAGATCACGCAAGAACCGTTTCGGTTCTAGCGTCGGTAATTGATTTATCTCCGAAGTTAGTTTCGGAGGCACAACCAAATCAAGCGCGTAAGCGCCCACGCCTGATCCATCATTAACCAAGACATTCACTGTCTCGATTACTTCCTGGGAAGTCACATCCACAGGGTCCAGAAGAACTTTCTACACAATGTAGTGATCATCTACATTGTGTTCTTGTACAGTCGTGCTAACGAGCGTACAACGAGTGAGGCCATAGCACTCGCTCGTAGTACACCCACGTAAATGTGGGCTTTTCAAGCAATTCGTCAGATCGTCATCTGAGGAACAAGTAGCAGGTATCGTAACTGATCGATGCTGCCAGATCACCCTTGGCTTGTATCTCCTGAGCCAAGGTAGTCCTAGGATGACATCAAACTTGTCATCCAGGTCGAGTACGATGAAATCATCATCGTACTGTTCATCTTTTAACGTGTAGTGGATTCCGACTACGCGTTTCTTCACAGTGATCGATGCGCCTGTCGCTAGGCGCACCGTCATTCTCGTTGAAAAGATCTCTTGCTCCACGAAGTTAAAAATTCCTACCTCTAGCGACTGGCGACGAACAAAAATGTTCGACGCCCCACAGTCAACTAGGGTGCGAAGTTACAAGTCCTTTGTCACTTCCATCATCAAGGTGATGAGGGACACCTCATCACCAAGTGCAGAGATACACAGGGACTGCGTGTCGGGAGAAACCTTCGTCAAGAGATTTGCAAATTCTCTTGATGTTGCTGGATCAGTAGGGCGCTCCGCCCCTACTGACCCCGACCATTTTTTGATGGTTGGTCTCGCTGTTGCGGCTTTGCAACAGCATCGGACCCTCGCCCTCCAGTTTTTCTTACTGGTGGAAGATTACTGCGCTCAGCACCGCGAGGTCCTGAGCGGGGGATACTGCATTCATATGTGTAGTGTCCCAGTTTATGAAAGCGATGGCATCTCACCGATCGCTTGTCATTCGCAGGGCGAGGTTTCTCGCCCTCGACATTACAGAGGTCCATTGGTTCTGGACATCCGACCGCTGATCGTCTCTGCGGACGAAAAGGGGTCAGCGTAGTGTGAGCCTGTCTCACACTAAGTCTTCCTGCTCCGCAGCGAAGATTGCTTCGGAGAGCGTCTTTAGCTCTCCGCGGAACAGGTGGTCCCTGATGGGACCATCGTACAGCCATTGAATGAATATTGTGATTAACACAAATTCACTCACAGGGTTCACTACCATGCAGGTTGCAAGGTAGCGTACATGCTGAGCGTAAGCGTGATCCTTACGCTTACCCTGTTTATTTTCGAAGGGTTTAAGTAGTCCTGAACTCTGCCCTGGGAGGCTCAAACGTCTCGCTGAGCAGGGTCTTGAAGATCCTCAACGACCCAAAGACGTTTGGGTCGTGCAACTTGAGATTCAAAGCCCAATTCCTGGCATCCCATGTCAATTACGACTGAGCGAATGCAAGTTGCATTCGCTCATCGACGATGCGACGGGCCTCGATGGCATCGTCGATTTCGACGAACCATCTAAACAGGGAGTCGTTCTCGACTTCGTGATAATTGGAGATCTCTAGCTTTAGATACCCCGATCGACGCTCCCGTGTCGACTGCGCGGACTGGGACTGTCTCAGTTCTTCGTTCCGCTGGTGATCTTGTTGTTGCAACAAGGTCACCTGCGCTCGCGACTCATCAAGTTCTCGTTGCAATAACTTTCTAATGACGACATGTTGCTGGTCCCTATCCCTTGAGGTTAGCATGGCCCATATGAATTCCTCGCCAATGGTCGAACTCATTCGTTCGATCGCACTCCATTCGATGTCGCTCAAATGGGAGTAGCTTTCACGGGATCCATGAAATCTGTCGCCGTCTACATCGTCCAACATGTTCATGTTGGGCGATGCGAGTTTGGTATTTGGGCGGACTACGAAGTGCTACCAGGTGTAACGGGGCACCGACTACTACGTACTGGTCAACCAGTACGGAGTTTACTATCACTGACTGTAGTGATAGTCAGTGTCCAGCTAGGTGTAGAACTACACAGAGGAAGGTAGAACGAACGAATAAGTTGAAAGACTCTAGTCGTAGAAAAAGTAAAACTGTTATTTAATATAATTAAGTCCTATAACTCTCGTATCTCTGTTTGTCCTGACTTAATTATACTAATATAACTAAATGTATGGTGACGTCTACTCACCACCTACTGCGCGCGTCTAGCAGCGATTGGTGGGTTGATATCATCACGATATCAACCAATGAGTAGACTCTTCGGTCATCTCAACAATATCATCATGATCTGTGACATTGTTTAAAGAATATTCATCGTACTATTCTTTATTGTCATTTTATCCTTAATGACAATATCATGTAACGGGCTACCCCGTTACAGTAAGGATGTCATGTATTGACGAAGCTGAAGCAAATGAATTCACCCCACAACTGCATCGGGAAGTTGCACCAGGAATGACTTTAATTATATTTCTGCAGCGACCTTTGCCTTAGTAGTACGCTGCTGCATCATAACAGCCTTCTTCATCTCGATTACATTGCCTCTATAACTCGTAGACAGCAGCCGAACCCAGTACTCCGACTTTTTTCATGATGCAGACCACGCCAATGTCAGAATCGGTGCATTCATTCATGGCCTGTCCACTCGGCCCACGAACCTGATCTATGTGCATGTACCAGAGGTGATCTCCGCCATGAGACGTCGTCGACACGATCGTTAGCGAGCTCGACGAGGAAAAAAGTTTGCCGATAAACCGCCGTCTTTCAATGTGCATTCGGGCGTCTCGAGCCTCCAGAAGCCGCACGAAAAGTTGCAAAGCCTTTCGACATGTAAACGCTCTCATCGCCACCATCAGTTGGCGACTACATCGCGTGACAATCGTTCAACAAAGCGCGTACTTCAACGTCACATTTGACTTGACTAGTGTCCGACCAAACCCCCCGTTCCATTTTGGTCGGACGAAATGACCTGAAGGAGTGCTCACGTAACGACCACACAATTTCCAGATATGTTCGACCAGTCTTTTTTTAGTCCCAAAAGCCACTCAAACAACGCAAAACATGCTGCGCCTCCGACGCCCCTCTTCTGCCCGGTGCAGTCCGACCGTCATCATTGCGGCCTCTCGTGTTTCGTGTCCAGCTACGACTTGTTTATTTCTATCACTTACGCGCTCATCATCGTCGTCGTCATCCAAAAATGCCGGGGGTGGTGTCGCTGGAGACTTTGTGTGTCACTTGCGCGATGTCGGACTGACCATTTCCGGCGGCAAAAAGCTCTTCCAGCACGTGAACTTGGGCTTCCTCCGAGGAGCAAAGATCGGTATCTTGGGCGCCAATGGTAGTGGCAAGTCGACGCTCTTGAAAATCATTGCCGGCGTTCGGAACGATTTTGACGGCGATCGATGGCTGAAACCGGGTGTGAAACTGGGCTACTTGCCACAGGAACCACAGCTCGATGAGAGCAAAAACGTGTACGACAATATCATGGACGGCTTGAAAGAGAGTCAGGAGCTCTTGGCTGCCTTTGACGATGTGTCGATGGCCATGGGTGAGCCCGATGCCGATCTCGACGCGCTCTTAGCTCAACAAGCAACTCTCCAGGACAAGATTGAGCACCTGAATTGCTGGGACTTGAGTCATGAAGTCGAGAAGGCCATGGCAGCACTGAAAGTGCCAGCACGAGAGACGGACGTGAACGTGCTGTCAGGAGGCGAACGACGACGTGTGGCATTGTGTAGGTTACTGCTTGAGAAACCAGACATGTTGCTACTGGACGAACCGACCAACCACTTGGATGCCGAGTCGGTTCATTGGTTGGAAGAGTTTTTGCAAAAGTACCGTGGCACCGTACTGTCGATCACGCACGATCGCTACTTTCTGGACAACGTCGCTGGCTGGGTCTTGGAACTTGATCGAGGCGAGACGTACGCGTATGAAGGCAATTACACTACGTGGCTCACACAGCGTCGTAATCGCTTGAACATGCAGCGAAAGGGCGATGCTGTCCGTGCAAAACAAATTGCATCTGAAATTGCCTGGGCACAGGAGCACCAAGGAAGTAAGAAGGCCAACAAAGCGCGTGTGAAGAAACTACAAGACATGGAGTCCAGTGGCTTCCGAACGTCAGCACGAATCGACGAAGGACAGATCGTCGTGCCGTCGGGCTCGCGTCTGGGTAACAAGGTGATCAAGGTGAACAACTTGCGTAAAACACTGAACGATGGCCGTGTGCTGTTTGATAAGCTCTCATTTGAGATTCCGCCTCATGCGATCGTCGGTATAGTTGGAGGAAACGGCATGGGGAAGTCCACGCTGCTGAATGTGATTGCGGGGATCGAGGAGCCAGATGCGGGTAAAGTGGAGCTAGGTAAGACAGTGAGTTTGGGCTTCGTGTGTCAAAGTCGCGAAGAACTAAGCGGCAGGCGGTCGGTTTACGAGGAGATTTCGGGCGACAATGAGTTTGTGGAGATTGGTGGCGACCGCATCAACACGCGTGCCTACATTGCAAGCTTCAATCTGCGAGGTGCGATGCAGGAAAAGAAAGTCGGCAGCTTAAGTGGAGGTGAGCGCAACCGTGTCCACCTAGCCAAAATGCTGCTGGGTGGCCACAATGTGGTGATGCTGGATGAGCCGACGAATGATCTTGATGTCGACACGCTGCGCTCGCTGGAAGCTGCTCTCACGGACTTTAATGGCGTGTCCATGGTCATCTCTCACGACCGATGGTTCCTCGATCGTATTTGCTCCCACATCATTGCGTTCGAGGGTAACGGCCGTGTCGAGTTCTTTGACGGAAACTACACTGAGTACGAGCGGGAACAAAAGCGCAGTTTTAACAACTCGACCTGAGCCGTCATGACAGACTGGTAATCGAGTTGCTGGTGTGTGATAATTGTGTCTGTTTGACAGACAGATGGGAACTCCTTGCAGCTCGTAGAAGTCTGTCAACGCAAGTAATTTTGGTAGACGTTGCGACGCATCGAGACTCGCTTTGAATGATAGCTCTCGTTCTTCACATGGGATTAAGAGGTCGAGTGATATGACGATAATATAGAAGCAACGCACAAGTCTCTTGCTCATGCAATTTCAGGCCTGTGTACTAGCAAAGCAATCAGAGGATATAAACCCATTTGCGTCTCGATCGCAGCCGCTAAAGCCGCTACTGCTTTGGCTGGACAATGGCGAGCACAAACAAGCTTCCAGCTTTGACCTGGTTCGAAAGTGTATCTACGTGTTGTGCGACATTGTCATTTACAGTGTTCGTGACGCTTTCTGTCGTTAAGGAACATGTTCTTTTACCACCGCAAAAATCGATTTCAAGTCACAGGTGGCTGATTACGCCAACGTCAAATAATCAGATCACCCTTTATGACCTTATTTTTGCAATAAATTTAGCTGTTTAGTTTTACAGGAAACATTTAGATGTATAATACATTATTCACATTACATTATCGGCGAATAAATATTTCAGGAAAATAAAAAATGCCCCATTTAATCAAGAAAATAAAAAATGCCCCAGATAATTGGAAATAAAAAAATGCCCCACGTCCCAGATTTATTAAGTTGATATGGTGCTGCTATCGATATACACTGGTTTTTGGAGAAGAAATTTACCCCCCTAAGGCCATTACCGTCATCCTACACATACTATTGCCTATCACAACACGCAGGAATGCTTCTAAACGATTACTAATCGCGAAGGAGGTGGCCGTAAAGATAGTGAAAACGAAACACAATCGCTGCAGCTTCGGTGCATCTTATGGTCACAACAAGTTGAGTTGCCAGTCCATATTTCAAGATACCAATAATCAGGATGTATTTAAAAATAAAATGCGACGTCACCGGCAAACAAATTGGCAGATTGGTATTAGCACTGTATCGGATGCCTTCGCAGACAATACTCTGACGCTACACAGTGCTCATTCACCACTTACGTCACGTTTTCCCACGCCCACGCAGGCATTCTGCATTTGTTATATACCTGATAAGGATATATGCTGTAAAGCGCCACGCTATTATTAAGACTACGCGAGTCAGAATATGCTGGCTCTAAATTTGATGTACGAACCTTGTAGCGAACCAGCACAATATAGAGGCTCACTTCATCTGTATCCTGCGCCCACCACACTACTCTTGAAAAGTGCCTCTCATGTCAAGAATCATGATGCAGCCACACTTCAAACAACTCAAGCGCAGCACCTACAACAACAACCACAACATCAACAACAGCAGTAGCATCACCAGTAGCAGCAACAACATCAACAAAAGCAACTGAAAGATCAATAACAAAACCAATAACATCAGTATCAACAACATTAACACAGACCGACTGGGGCTGGCCGTGACCAACCCCCGCCCTGTTTGGGGCCGGTCCGTGGGTAGGGTTCTGCAACTGGTGGCTGCAACCGCAGCACGCCCGCGGCAGAACCCTCTCCGCGGCTTCCCGAAACGGATGGGGGTTGGTCACGGCCCTAAATGGTAAACAAAAACGATTAGGGACGTGTGGTTTTACGTGTACCACATTAAATTATTAATACTGGGACGTGGGGCACTTTTTTATTTTCCAATTATTTGGGCCATTTTTATATCATCGTGATTAAATGGGGCGTTTTTTATTTTCCCTAAATCAAAAGAAACAGTATTTATCTGATATTGTCAAATACAAGACATATAAAGATTTGACAACGTCTATCATGATTTTTAAGCTTTTATTATACAATTAGATACGATAAGAAAGTGTGATACAATAGAAAGTCTTCTGTTTTGTCTAATATTTTTTAAGCTTGAACTATATAATTTATAGTTGCAGCCATTGCCTGACGTTCGCTGCTTCGCTCACCTCTTCTCTCTAGCTTCATTCCAGAGTTGGCTGCCAACGAGACAGAAGACTTGTGGGAATGAAATAGCGACTACGAAGTCATGTGCTGACATACCTAAGGTCTCCTACACTACCTGTGGAAATAGCAGAAGCGAAAACGGGCACTTGAACCAGCCAGCATCTACGGAGTGGATGAATACCACCATAGGATCAATGCAAAGGCATGGACGCTCACATCACCGTTAAATGACTACAATATGGTCATCGAAAGATATCTTGACAAATCCGCGTTGAAGCAGCTAGTTCCATTCTACATGGCTGTAACGGGACCTCAAGATCGTATTATCGATCTTGGGATCGTCTGACGGAGCTCATTTGTGGACCATCCTCACCTCCAATCTAGCGCTTGCTATTCGAGAAGGCATCGGGATGAATCGGTAAGGCGAAAACTGATCCCTGTGCGCAAGTGCTACTCTGTAAAACTACTTGAGGCAACATGTCGGACATGCAAACTTAAGTCGTCATTTATAAATCACGTCGTACGGGAGCCCGTGTATCGAATAGTTACCGCATCAAATTACTGATTCTAATCTTTGACGCATATATTTATTGATCATGCTGTAGGTAAGCATTGGGTTCTAAACCTAAAACAATAATGAACGAGGGCATACATGCGCCCTGGTCGATCTACCCGAATACAATATTGTTTCTTCCGTCCAGGTGTCCCTTATCGTACAGTACTCTCTCAACCCGCCGGTAGGTGAATCACCATGATAATTACTTCGTGATGCACCTCTGATACCCGTTTCTCTAAGACGACATTACATCAGAAAACAACATGTAGTCTGTATCAAAAGCGTTTCAGTGTACAAATTTGTCCCGTTAAGCTTCTGTTTCATTGTAGAAGCCTTAAAAACAAGTCAGGTTGGAATATGTATAGATTCAGATCTAATATACCGTCATTTATTTGCAAATGTTGAGTAAGATGCAGATATCTGAAAACTCCGTCACTTTTTACAGGAATCAGGTGGTCATTGAGGAAGAGACATACGTCACCCTAATCACCACCATATCTCCTGAAAAATCAGGAAGTAGCAAAGACATGACGTAAGTAAATATCACAGATTTTGATAGGAAAGGTGAATGTCTGGCCAACCCCTGAAGTAGTAGGCATCATCGATAAACAATTCTCGATACACTGTGGTGGGATGATGATCACAAGATTCTTGCGACCCCGACTCTCCATTGGCGCCCATACGACCGACTATCGTAGAGGTACTTAGCTTCCGTACTTTAAACATTTTTACCTTGGGTACTCGTCGGTTGGCAGGCTGCACTTTTTCAGGTGGACTCGTGTCGATGGAATACTTGATAGTGTTTGAGATGGATTGGTGATCTCATAGATTCCTATCACGACCACGGATGCACTTGTAGGGCGCTCGATATGAGTCCCCCTGAACTCTACGATATAGCCTTGTCCGTGATAAATTATTGAATCGCAGCCGTTCTGACCACTTGAGCCGTCTCGAGATCTAGCACTATGCTTCAAATCGCAGTTTAGGGGTTGGGAGATAACGTGCACGCCTAGCCAAATATGCCAGGAGTAATCTTATTCGTAAAGGGGTTGGTCTTCTCAAACGACGGGCGGCCAAATATTCCACCCGGGTGGAGGAACGGCACTTTTGCACTTAGAAGAAACTGAATTCTCATTCAACGCTATTAGATATAAGTATGTCATCGTATTCGGTGGCCCACGCCGAATTGCCGTGATCGTATCATGCGAAGATCGCAGAGTACGATATCACATCGCATAAAATCGTGTGGAAAAGTGCAGAGAAAGAATGATGGAAAGTTTGTATCGTGCGCTCCCTTAAGTGCGAAACCATTTTGATTGGTGGAGAGCACTAGGAGGTGGACCCGTTGGCCCGAGTGGTGTGGTCAACATAGGTTGACTAAAGGGAAATTATTGTTGAAGTTATGCGGAATGCTCTACGTAAAGGGCAAAAAGAAGTATGGTCAAGGATCGGCGATGGATGAATTGCGATCCGCGATCAAAGACTTAAATCTCCAAGCTTACTCAAGAGTTGATCAACATCGGGATTACGTGATCAGGAACGAACAATGGATGATGGATGAATATGGGAGCATGCCGGAGGAGCGATTCATCACGAACGCGAAGTTTCAGAAGCGACAGCGATCCGACCGTTGATGCCCGATCGAAGACGTAAAGATTGGCCACGATCTATCCTGGGTGTGTACCGCTTGATTGCGTGAATACAAAATTAATGCGGACCACATACCGCGATCCACTACCTAGCGATCCGCTACCCGAGTATCCGCTGTCGAACATACGATGCAAGAAGTGAATTACATAGACAGACGATACACAACAGTTGACCTAGCGAACAGATATGCATAGTCATAGGTGTTGGGATTCGTTAGTTGACCTTAAACAGAATTGAATTTGCAACGAAAGACACACTTTAGACTACTACCGGGCAGGATCTTCAGCCCCCGGTCCAACAGAGCGTGACTCGCGTCTCTACAAACTTCGCCCTTAATTTGTATGGCCAGGCGGAACTTCGATTGTCACCCCCCCCCAACTGCGATCGGACGCAGGGAGCCTAACGGTTCAGATTCAAGATCGCGAGACGGCTCAAATGGTCAGAAAGGCTCGCGCATCAATAATCACCCCTGAATAAAGGCGACTCTGGGATAGCGACCAAGCATACACGAGATCGAGTATTTTTTTTACTTAATCTGCCCCTACGTTTGACCGGCTGAAGCATTCCCACCCGATCAACCCCGAATCTAGAAACGGTCAAGTCCATCGTTTGCTCAAGTCCACCAAAAAGAGCGAAACCCGCCCCACCGACGGGTACACAAGGTAAGCAAGAAGCCACGATGCACGGAATCGGGGTACACCCCCGTCAGTCGGTCGTCCAAGCGCCAGTGGAGAGTCGATGTCTTCTCGGGAACCGAGCAATCATCACTCCACCACAATCGCGATTTGCACGATCACTCTACCAAG